TAACCAACCTGTTAACAGAACATAATAATGGGATCACTTAGCAGTAAGAAATCTAGACATATTGATCTGCATTGAATACTTTGTGGGCCATTTGCACTCAAAAGTCACTCGAATCTCCCCCCCCCCCCCCCTAAACCAAGCAGTTTTGTCAATATGAAAATCAGAAATGCAAAAAAGAGCACATTAATATGAGTATGAAAAATCTTGCTAGCAATATATTATGCTCTAATATTTTGTTATTTCTGAGCTATAGTCTGTCAACATTATTAGCCAAAACTTTGTCTACTTTGTAATATTAAGGTGMTCTTTACATTTCTGGRGTTTAGATTGACACATCTKYTCAATTKAAGAKGAGTAGGGAAATGTAAACAATGAGTGAAAATTGTCCTCAATTAGTGCRAAAGCCCTAGRATGACTAGAATAAAAAGATWTAAGATTTATCYGCATAAACATTGCATACTCTAGCTCAAAACCTCACCATTCCTATTGTTGTCATGTTTGGTCTTCCATCTTTCATTTCTTCACAAGTATCACAATTGTCCTCCATGTTTCTGTGATGTAGCAGTTGACAMAGTTCTATAAATTCCTCACTGGTCAAGAGTTTCCCAGAGTGGTCCAAAACAAATTTGCTCTCTCTGCTTGCACTCTTTGAAGAACTTYCCTCGCTATTAGTTTCAATTTTCTTTAAATTATCATCTATTAAACTTAAAACTCCTTCCCTTAATTTATCATCACCAGCAGCATCTTCAGTTCTGTCTTTATCTAAATATTTTTTACATTCCTCTATTTCTTTTTCATCCTCTATGCCTTCCTGAAGAGCTGTATTTTTAGAGGTTTTTTTGGTATCATTTGTGATTGTTCCACAGTTCACTGGTAAACATTCCTGTTCTTCYTTCTTGTCATCCTCATCTTTTTCAATCAAAGTTTCCTTTAAATCTTGTTCTGTTTGATTCTCATTGTCGTCTGTAGAGAGTCYTGAAAATCTTGATGTGATTGTTGTATCACCATTATCATTATCATCATCATTGTCATCATCTTTTTCAAGCTTTTCATCAGWTTTGGTTTGAGACTGTCGTTCAGCTTCATCAGCCTCATCCTGTATTTCCTTTTCCTTAAAAATTACATCAAAATTAGCCAAATTTAATTTCACATAACTAAAAACAACAGCACTGGGAAGCACGGATGGTGTAGCGGTGTGTCCGCTCGCCTCTCATCAATGCGACCTGAGTTCGAATCCCGCCGGGCTCGGTGTGGTATATGAGTAGAGTTGTTTGTTGGTTCTCTCCTGTGCTTCGAGGGTTTTCCGGGTTCTCCGGTCTTCCTCCCTATGCAAAAATCAACTTTTAAATTCAAATTCGATCATGGAATGAGGGCCACAGGTTTGTTAGCCACTGGCTAWTAAGTGTTACCCTCGTGAAAGAAGGACCTTTTTTTAGCACTAAATCATGGAATAAAATATCCTCTTAAAAGCATCATTGCAATATTGTAAACATTCTTCTTTCAATTTGAGGGTCTCTCTGCAAATCTCTCAGGCTGAGCTTGTTAGGAGCTTGAGTCTGTTATATGGCCTGAGTAAAGCCATTAAATTAAAAAATATATAAATATAATCAAAGTCAGTAGTGGATTGATTTGTCACAAAATTTCCTTTAATTTCATACTTTGAGCAGCCTTTCTGTTTCTGCAAGAGCTGACCAAAAAGCAACACTGATTCCTTTTTCCTTAAAGTAACTTGCCCACATAGACCTAAGAAAAAGAGAGATAGTAACAGTGGGTTACCTGTGTCTAAAGGGGTAGTGTGACCAAGTGGAACCTGGGTCCAAGAATACCACAGGTATCCCACAAAATAGTAATACATACCTTTGTCCCRGTGTTAAAAAATCAGCTTTATTGATGAGGAGAAGATTGGCTTTACATGGACCTTTTTCGTTTACATAAACCTCCTGCAAAATAGCAATATTTTGTGTACAATTTCCCAACACTGAGCAACAATGTACAGAAGTAGCATTCCTGTGCCCACCCACCCCTCCCTCCTATGCAATATTTGTACCTACCAAATCTTCACATCTGAATAACAGAGGATTCCTAGCATCCACAATCTGAACAATAACATCACTGAAAAAATAACATTTGATATTTTTCTCTTATTCTCTTTATTTCATTACACACACCGAACGCATAATTTATAACTACTATACTATGTCTATTCTTTGCGTGTATTTACGCTGTTCAACTTACCTATAGAGAAAAAATATCACTTTGGGATCCTCACGAGTACCCTACATTTCAYATTCCRGCTGCATTAYCAGCGTGCTTGGTCCTTGTAGTGTAGTGGTTAACACATYGGACTAGAATACCGGATGTGGGTTCGATTCCCGGCAAGTGCATTAATTTTGATATTTTTCTTCTATTCTCTCTATTTCATTACACACACCGAACGCATAATTTATAACTACTATACTATGAAAAAAAAAAAATTTATAATAATTTATTTTTTTTCTTCTAAGTTCCTTTCAACTAGAGACAAATGATAAATAATTTCTATAATAACACTGCAAATATGGACCCCTTTTAGATTTAGCTCCAAGGGTATAAATATTATCTATTCCTAGTCTGCTTCTAATTCCCATCAGTACTATTTTTCTGTTTACTAGTAACTTTTGAGAAGATTCATTAAATACAGATAAATCAAACAAGCAATCATATTTTAGGGAAATAATGTGTGGTTTGAAAATAGGAAAATAAATTCATCMATTTGTTTGCATTCTGATGCCTGTATAATTGTATTATACCCATGCAGCCTTTAGCCTCAAGGGGTATTGACCCCATTTGACCAGTTAGGTGTCTATGTGTTAATGAAGAAATAGAAAACGTGTGAGCGTGCTGTGTGCTGTCATAAARCATGCGGGGGTTGGCAGAATAAAAGAGAAGTGTTAGGAGAAGCAAGACGCRTAGCGGAGTGCTTCTGGACACTTCTCGAGTGTTCTGCCAATCCCCAAGTGCTTTATGACTGTAGACAGCACAGCAAGCAAGTTTTTTATTTCTTTTATAAAATACAAATYACAATAATAGATAGGAATGACGCAAAGGACAGTGYGCGCGCGTGCAATGTGCTCTCATAAAGAACGCGCTGCAAACCAATCAGAAAGCGACATTCATAACAGTTATTTAATTTATAAATGTATTATAATTTAAACATTGTGAGCATAATTATATCATACTGTAAATTGAATGCCATGCAGATTACTGTAGTTATCCCATTATTTTTATACCTTCGTTCAATTACTCTCCAAAGTTGTCTCCAGAATTCCAGGTTTTTCTCGAAAGGAGTCAGCATAATGTGCTCTTTTTCCTGCAACCTTTAAACCAATTAAATGGTTATCAAATTAGAGAAAACTCTTTTCCTGAAACTTTTAAACCAAATGGTTATCAAATTAAGCAAAACGTTTTAATGGCAATTTACTTTGTAAGCAAAGTAAAATTTTACAATAACTTACAAATTTCTCTTGTGCTGATTGGCTGATTTTTATCATCAATAAGAGGACAGACAGGTAATGCTGTCGTCATTGAGCGCAAGCTCTTTCAGTTGTTTGTTTTTATCACAAGGAGAGCGACGTTTTTMTTGTTTTTCTTGTTGTYTTTGTTATYSTAAAAAACAAATTGACTTCAGATTTTTATGTGTCTGTCCTCTTATTTGACAATAAATTTCGCCTATCACATTGTCAAAGTAGTATGAACTACTTTGACAATGTGATGACGCAATTTATCAACAATAAGAGAACAGACATATAAAAATCTGATGTCAATTTGACACARTTAAACATTAGTGCATTAATTAATATTTTTTGACTCACATTGCAAGCTGTCTTCTCCATTCAAGTAGACTTTCTCTCTCGTGCAATTCAAGTTCTTGTACATCCATGGTTGTTGTCCATGGAGGCCTGTAATTTAAAAATATAATCATTATCATTAGCATGATAGATGACAAGGTAAAGATGTACACAGTTTGCTGGGAAATGTGATCTTCCGGGTGAGTGTAGTCTTGAGAAAATAATAGGAATATTATTATAACAGGATTATTATTTCAGAAAGACTGTTGTTGGTGGTGACTGACATTCTGACAACCTGATAAAACTGTAAAGATGTACAGTTGTGATGATGGTGATGAGGATATTAATAATGTAGTTGATGATAATGATTATGCTGATCAGGGATCAATACATGTATATTCTTGCTGCAACTCCTCTTTAAGTCTGGGATTCATTTATTTTACCTTAATTTGGCCAAAATATCCCAGAACACAGGAAATAAGGAAATAGCATTTCTTTCAAAATTTCCTTAGTAGTATTCTCCCTGACCTCTAGTTT